TGTATATCCCATATGCAATTCTAATAAAATTCCTTCGGCAATGTAAGCCGCCTTAATAACAAAAAAAAAAAAAAAAAAAAAATTATAGATTATAGTAAATAAATATATTAAAAAATTTATAAACAATTATTAACAACTAAGCAATATATAATTAATAAAAAGAACATTACTTCAGTTAACTATTTACTGTGAAAACAGTTAGTGAATTCATTTGAAGTTATATTAAACATAAAATTTAAAAACTTTTCATCTATGTAAGCTTTAAAGATTTTCTTTACTATGGCCAGAGTAGAATAAATATGACTTGAGAAGAGGTATTTTACAATACTAGTATATGCTTTTTATAAAAAATAAAAATTTAGAAGATTTTTATTACACACTTATAACTTTCAAATACTCATATTTAGAACCTTCTGCGAAAGTTCATTTTCTATATCAACTCATTTCTTTTTTAATTTAGTTTTAATTTTACATATGTTTTTACTAAGCCTCTTTATTAAAAAGTAAAGCTATTGATTTTGAGTAAAGAGCCTCTCATCTACTTGCTAGCGATAATTGCTTACATATTCTTCAAATTTAGTTAAAAAAAAAAAATTTTTTTTAAAAAAAAAATCAGTATCTAAAGATCAAAAAAAAAAGAACTTATATACTATTATAATAATCTCATAATCGAGATCTTCCTTGTGATTGCTATAATGAAAATGATCTATTTTGATTAATAGAATATAATTTATAACAAGAATGAGGAGAATAAAAAGAGGAATGAGAAGATAATAGTTTTCATAAATAAAATAGCTATTATAATTGTGTAGCTTGTCTTAATTAAGCAGCTTATTATAATTGAGTGACTTGTTATAATTGAGTAGCTTATTTTAATTGAGTGGTTTGTCTTGATTGAGTAGCTTGTCTTGGTATAGTTTATTTAACTTTCATTTGCTCAAAGATTTCTTATACACTTCTAAGATATTTAGATAAATTTGAAGAATCATTTTTATAATTTTAAGATTGTTTAGAAGATCTAATTACTGATTTTAAATGAGTTATATTAGTAGGAATAGCAAGAGAAGATAATGATTGTGAACAGGTATTAGTAGGAATAACAGGAGATAATTATGAACAGGTATTAGTAGGAATAGCAGGAGATAATTATGAACAAGTTGTATTAGTAGAAATAGCAAGAGATAATTATAAACATGTTGTATTAGTAGAAATAGTATTAGAAGATAAGTTAAAAATATTATCAGTAGGTAAATTATTATCAGAAGATGATAAATTATTATCAGAAGGTAATAAATTATTGTCAGAAGGTAATAAATTATTATTAGAATCAAAATTATTTATTTCAAGAATTTTTCTAAAAAATGTTTTTATCTTTCAAATAAAAGTAGTTATATTATATATTTATAAAAATATAACTTAATTATTATATAGTAAAAAAAAAAAAAAAATTATTTTGTCAAAATACATATAATAATAATTCTTGTATCTAAGAAATTGAATAATAAAGTTAATATATGATTAATTTTTTTATACTTAAAAAAAATAAAAGTATACTTATCTTATTTGTTGTTTTGCGTCATTTGCATATAATAACAATATATATAATTACATACTAATTTGCTGAGTTTTATTTTATTATTGATATTTCTTACTGTGATTTGAAATAATATATACATAATATAATATTACTTTTGCTTATATTATATAAACAATTATTACACTTTGTTTTGACTAAAGAAAAATAATCACCTAAAATTGATATAAATTAATTAAAATTGTTAAAATCTTCTAAATTATTGCTTATTGCTATATCTTTTACCTTCTTTTATTATCATTTCTTATTTAGATCTTCACAATAGATATATTACAAATTCATATTTTAGGTCTAGTGACCTAGTATAGTAGTTAGGTTGTCAGACTGCTATGCAATAGGTTTGAAGTTCAAATCCTACTATTAACGAATTTGAATAATTTCTTAGACTTTGTGATACATTACAGTAAACTCTGTCTATTTTTAGTAGTATATCTCTGTAAATTGAGTTATACCAAATTGATCAAAACTTGGAAGTGTAGAGTAATATTATACGAATAAATCTTAATAGGATATATAGGCAGAGAACCTGTATAGTAGAAATCCTAAGTCAGTGAAGTAGTATAGCCTTTCGATAGGACTACATTAGCTAAAGTCTAATCTGCAAAGAAAACTCAGTTTAATAAAGGTAGAAGGTTTCAAGGTCTCTAGATAAAGGGTAACTGAGACTAGCTGAATACTGGAAAAGAGCTAGATCAACTGACTAGTAGAGAATTATAGTGGAATCTAGAGTTGTATGAATATCTACAAGGGTCTAAGCTAAGTAAATCTGTAAAATAGGTACAGACTACTCTAGTAGGTTTGTTTCAAGGTTAACTGACTCTGCGATACTAACAATATGTCTAGTATAAATGTATTCTGAGAGGACCTAAGCCATTCTGAATAAATAGATCTGTAACGAGCAAGCTAGCTTAAATAGTTAGGAATTACAATAATGTTAGGTTAGATCTATATAAGTTAATGAATAGAGTGTTTAAATAAGTAACTCACAAGCAAATTACAAATATAGCAGCCTAGTGTAAAACTAATTAGATAGCCTAATGCCTGTGCGGTGAACTACTTAAAATAAACAATGACTAAAGTTATATATATAGCTTATTGTATACTCTTCATATAATTACAAACAGTAGAGATTATCAATGTATAATCCTGTTAACAATTCTAATAAAATTCCTTCAGCAATATAAGCTACCTTAACAACAAAAAAAAAAAAAACAACTTTATATTTTCTTGTATTTTCTTATATACTTCATTTTCTTTTTACTTTCTCTTTTATTCTATCTCTTTCTTTATTTCTTTAAATCTGAGAAACAGAATCCTGTTCAGGTTCTAGTATCCTGGCACTCTTCTTTTATTTCTCTTTTTTACTATCTTCATTATTTTTCACTATATATCACTTATAATCATTTATTTATTCTTTCTACTATTGTTTTTGCTTTTTTTACTTTTTTATTCTTTTGCTCATTATTCCTCTTTCTTTTTCTTATTATCTAAAATATGTTGGCATTGTAAGTATTGTAATTGAGAATTTTCAAAATCATTTACTTTAATTTAACTTATTTCTCAATGTTACTCTTATTTCTCAGAAATATCGAATCAAGCTATTTTATCTGAATAATTAGAAGATAATATTTAGCAACTTCCAGAATACAATATTTCAAAATATAATTCTAATAAATCTATAATTTACAGGATAAATTGGTTGTTATAAGTTATAAAATGTAATTAACAATATATATTATTTAAGATAAAGATATATTAATATTACCTTATTCTGATATAGAAATAGAGCCTTTTTCAGCAAATATGTTCTTTTTAATAGAATGTGATCCTGAAAACTATAAAAGAGCAAATATATTCTCCTTAGTAGAATATAATTCTGAAGACTATGAAAGAGTTTCATTCGATAATATTTTTTATGATATGCAATATCTACTAACTATTAAATAGTCTAATGAAGCTTATTATTGTTATAAGTAGCATAGCTTTCTCAATATCTAGAAGTAATATAAGATACAGAAAAGGGACTCCTAATAGTATCAAAGTGAAATGTTATATTACTGTGGCAGTTCATTTAAAAAAGCATTTTTGGCAAGGCCAAGATATACTTTATTAATATTTAATAAAAGACTTTGGACTTTATTGAGTACTGTATTATTTTAGAACTTAATAGAACTAATATAAGAACTATTAGAATTCTACAGAACTCCTTTACAAGAGAGGGGAAAAGCTAGAGTTTATATATCTTTTTCTTAAACATCCTTAAATGTAGTTAAACATTATCAAATGTAGCTAAATATTATCAATCATAGTTAAATGTTATCAAATATTGTTAAATATCATCAAATATCATTAAACGTAGATGTTACTCAAAATATAAATTCTAAGATAACTCAAGAACTACATATGCTACAGATATAATTTATAGCTCATTTTGAAGATCTAATCGAGCTACATTAAATAATGTAATCTAAATCTATTTTTAGCTATTAAGAATTCGAAAGAAACACTAATATATAAATCTAAATATCAAATCTAACATAATAATAAATAATTTTTTTTTTTTTTGTTGTTAAGGTAGCTTATATTCCTGAAGGAATTTTATTAGAATT